TGGAAAGTACTACCAAAAAAAGCTTCACGAATAAGTATTACTGCCACATGAAAGCAAGTTATCTTTGTCACCAATACCTTCGACCAAAGAAAAATAAAGGAACCAGATTTGTCTTCATAAAGCTTTCTTTCAAGAATCAGTGTTCCCATCTGCAGTGGGCCAAAACTTCTTCTAATAATGTAGGATGTGACTGTAAATCTGAGCAGAATTTAGACCGATGGCCCCCACTGCCCTTCCAGTTGTCTCACTATTAGTCGGGCAATGTCGTCCTAGGATCTTTTTTAGAATGCTGACATGGACAATGGCTTTAACACGAGACTGAGGTCTTCTGAACATGGAGGCTACTTCAGCTAAATGATAGGACTTCTACCTCACTAGGAGTGTCCTGAGTCCTGGCTCTTTGTAGAGTGAGAGGGCAAGAAGATCACCAAGATGACTGATTCTTTTTAGACCTGCTAGGCTAGTATCAAGTTGTAAACTTGAGGGGAGGGGGGAAAAAAAAAAAAGAAAAAACCCACCCTATTGGCATATAAAAAGCACCTTGAAGAAGAAGTTTTAAAGGCTCATCCTTAGCCACATTCATATAAACCTTCCAAAGTTAATCTTCCTGAGGCTACTTTATTGGATCAGCACAGTTCTTTTTACAGGGAGGACGTGGCAGGTTCCACCAGAAATAAAAATGTGAAGTTCTTGTTAGAAAAAAGGCACTGTTTTATGCAAGCTAGCAATCTACCTCCTTTATGTACACGTGACAGCCTGAGGATAATTTTTTGTGTCCCAGTCTACCATTTGTGGAACTACGTCCAGCAGGTCAAACAGCATTAGCAGGTCAAACAGTGTTGTGATTTACAAATGGCAGAGATGAACAGGGATCTGAGCCTGTAACTTCTCCTTGACTAGTTGTGCTTCAGACTCTAACAGATCACTGTTTAAACAAAGTAGATCAGGAAACAGTTTTATGCCTGTATTCTTCAGAACAGGGAAATTGCAGAATTATTCATATGAGATTACAGAGAGAAGCCCATGTCTTAAATGTAAATCTAAAGGGTCCCACCATCTTCAGCTGTGACCTCAACTAAGCAACTTTTTTAGGTCTGAGTCCCACTCTCTGACATTGATTTCTGTAGGGGTGAAACATAATGGCAGAGTAATTAAGTTTTTGAAATTTCTCTAATTTCTGAATTAACAATCCATACTCGTCTCCCAATTCCACATATGATCAACATCTTGGTTTCATAAGTGTAATTTTTATTACGCTAATTGAAGGTTCAGACTTCTGAAATGAGCAAAATGAGTAATTTGATTACAACTCTGTATTAATACCGTGCCATCAGAGCATAGAAAATGGAAATCGCTTATCCAGAATGTCAGAGGGCAACTAGACAATTGTGTTACCCTTAAAAAATTATACTCCCGCATCTCATTCAGGCATAGTGAAAAAAACTCTCCCACTCTTAATTCTTTTCCTAAAACCTAGCATCTAACAGTAAATATGATTTGGGAGAGAACCTGGGGCAGTAGTTCCATGGTCTTTAGCATTCTGTGGTACGTGACAACTTCTAAGGCAAGACTGTCTGAAATAGTCTTTGAGGAAGAAGACTTTTCGTGGGTTTTTTAATCAGTTCTAAATCTACTTTTTTTGACATAAAAATGAATGCATTTAACATCATACAGTTTGGGAGTAGGAGGGAAAATCTGCATCAAGTCAAGTTTCAGAATCATTAATGAGCTTGTTCTGCGTCTGGAAAACGAAAGAGAACAGTGTGAACCACTAGCAGAAATCTCGGCTGCACGTGAGGCAAGCAGCTAATTTCAGCAGTGAGGACTGTCACAGGCAGAGTTATAGCAACGGAAGAGGACAACTCAGATGCTTTCCCAGTACTTTTCCTTCCCAGTTAAAAATCTAACTGCAAACAGCACATCTCCTGCACAGCAACTGCCATGCTCCCTGAACGGGTAGGAGCAGCTGCACTCATCCACTCCGTGTGTGCAAGCATCGCTGGTGCATACACAATCACGCTAATTGTGTGTTTAAGAAACACAGCAAACACCAATTCTGTGATTAACAGCTGGAAATGTAAATCCTAGGAAGAAACCAGAAATCTCTAAGCTAGCATGTTTGCTCACTTGCGGGTTCTCTCTCACTTATCCTTGTGGTTTTCCACTCCCATTGCTGCGTCCTTGTACCTACAAGCAGTAGCTGTACCTAACCCAAGGGGCACAGAGCTCCTCATGCAACTTGGTGCTCGTTTGTGCACCCTTAGCCAAGGGTATGGTATCAAACGATCAGGCCTGGGTGATTATTATATCTCACCATGTCCTGGCTTTCTCCAGGAAAAACAAACAAATAAACAAAACAGGGAAGACTGGTCCAGGAAGGAGCTGTGCTGTGCTCCATTCAGTCCTGTAGCTGGAATAACCAGGAAGGCAGGACTGTGGCACCACGCAGCTCCCCTACCTCGCAGGTCATCCTCTCCCTGGTTTCCTGTGCTTTCTCCTTGTCTGGATCCCCAACAAGGCAGCTCCATCCTTAATAGGTTCAGCATTCTTTTAGAAGTTTGGTTTTAATTTTAAATTCCCTTAACTTGTAATACATCTTTGATGTTTTCAAATGCCTCCTTATAACATTTTTATAGTTACTTGAATAATGGAACAAAAATAATTCCAAATACAAAAATATTGTGAGTACAAAAGCACTCTTGATTTTTTGGCCAGAGCAGAGTTCAATAATCAAAGCAACAGTGGATTGCTTTCAGACAGAGAAAATTATTCTACATGCTGAAGACTGGCCAGCTGTTCTGCAGAAGTACTACCCAACACACAGTTTAGCGAGGAAGGTGGACAGGGACAGTACTAATTCAATGTGTCACAAATAGTCTAGATGTAGTCAAAAAGAGAAAAAAGCAGCAAGCAGGATTTTCAATTTCTGGTTGCTTAAAATATTTTTTCTATCTAAAATTAAGAACTAAAACCAACTCTTTTCACACTGAGCAGAAACGGGAACACTTCAGTTGGCCCAAAGGCAGTCTGAAGAAAATCAAATAAATGAAGGGCTAATGTCACAAAACTGCTGGAAGAGGTAGTGGGTACGTGGTCCCTCCTTTATTCAATACCCAGGCAGTGCAGATAGTCACTTGGGGCCACAGGACCCAGATCCAATTCCTTCTGCCTGAAGTGAACTGAACTTACATATTCCAGATCCCGAGACAAGGCACTAAACGCTGCTATAAGGTGGCGTTGAAGGACCACCAAATCTCCTCAGATGATGCCATTCTGTTTTGCATAAATAATTAAAATTCACAGGCACACCGAGTCCCAGCTACCAAAGCCCTTCTATAGCATGCATCCACCCAACGGCCAGACTGTCATCTTCCTCCTGCTCCCTTTGTCCCAGGCTCAATGAATATTTCCAGTGAGAATGAACACAACAGCAGTGACCAAGTGAGACCCATTTTGGACCTCTCTTACCAAGAAACAGTGGACCTGGTTCAGCCTCCTGCCCCAAATCAAGCAACAAGTATATTTGAACTTGCATCTTTCAGCTCTTCAGTGAGCAGCCTAATCAACAACGTGCAGTATCTTCTGTCCTACTTCCCTCCAAAGCATTCATGAAATTACCGGGAGAATCCCCACAACTGTCAGTCAGCTGCCAATCTCTTACAGACCAACATAGTAACATTTACAAGGGACTTTAAGGGGGATTTTTGTATCCAATAGGGAAATACTGAAGAAAAAAAAACCAACCAAAACCAACACCATTCAAACATTTCTGAAACTGTTTCAAAAATAAAAGTCAGATGTGGACTAAATTACTGTCATCTGCCTCCTACAAGGAGTGCGTAGCAGTGCCAAGCGCTGGGTTTTTGCAGGGAGCAGCTGTAGTGGAATAAGAGGTTGGGTATGGACAGGGGGAAGGAGAAGCAAAGAGAGCTTCTGGGGAAAGTGCAGGATGCAATCACAGCCAGGAGAGCCTCTGAAAAAAGTCACCACTGAAGGTAACAAGAGGCAGTACTTGGGCAGACAACTGTTCCTTCAGACACTGCTCCCAAAGGAAACAAAGGTGAGAACAGCCAGGTGTTAACAGCAGCTCAGGAATTTACTGATAGCATCTTATTAAAGAGGAGAGAAATGCCTTCCCTTCACTCCATACCTGAAAAAAGAAGATCTAGCTCCTGATTTTGGGAAAGTTAACTGTTGTGTTTAGCCACACAGTGATGCCACTGATGGTTTTCCACAAAAGTACATTTTCATGTACCTATACAAGACTTTCGGTATTTCAAACCTCAGTCCCATCAGTATGAACTACAGCGCTTTCTTAATACGAAGCCTAAAAGCAAGACGGCTTTTCCTGTGACTGTACATATCTATATCTCACATCTTTTTCATTCTATCTGTATTCTTGCTAGTACTATCAAAGATAGAATTAAGATAAATATATATATATACGTATACATTTTTAATCCTTGGGAGGAGGTTAAGGTGTTCAAAGATAAGGACATCTCTGCTAGTACCAGAGAACATACAGCTTTGAAAAGAAACATGTAAAATATGGGGGGAAAAATGGTATCATACAATAATCATTATATATTTTAGGCAACATGGCTGACCAAGGATAAAGTAATAACCGGACATAGTAGGCACTAAGGAAATGAATGCAAGGAAAAAAAATAAAAAGAAAGAAATCTATTGTGAATGGACATTTCCAGGAGCAAAATACAGGTGAAACAGGGATCTAAACGTTACATTATATTGCTGGCAACAAATGAAAAATGATACAGATCAAAGCTGAAAGAACAACATTGGAGAAATGCACGCTACAACCTATTGCTATACAAATTCTGTTCTGAGATTGTCAGGTAACACTGCAACATTAAAAGTTATTTTTAAGTGGTCCTAACTTTTCCTTAATTCACGTGGTATACAGCAACCATGTACATAAACCCAACACACATATAATGAAGAAAGTCTAAAAGGTAGTGTAACTGGGGTTTGGTACTCACCTCCTTCTCCTGACCCAGAGCCATTATCTGAAAAAGAAACAAAGGGGAAGAAAAAAAAAGAAAGCAAATGAAAATATTGCTCCAGGAGCAGCTGTTCAGGAAATTGTCACTCTAAAACCTTATACAGGTGTTACCTTTCATGAGCCAGGTGTAAAAACAAGCATCCCACATAAAGCCTGGCAGCCTTTAATGCAGTTCAAGAAACTCAAGAAACAGTATCATTCAGTACTAAATTGCTTTCTTAGCCTTTTCTCAACTGTTAGAGGTTCAAATTTGTTAAACTCAAGACAGATGAAAAGTACAGAGACTGATTTTTGGAAAAAAAAAAATATATATATATTAACCCTCTGGCCCTGGGAGGGGTACATGAAGGAGCAATAGATAAATCACCTGACTGCAGAAGTAACTCCAGAAGACAACCGGTCCTCAAAGTAAAGTTGCCTTAAGTCATCTAACTACAAAATAGCTCCTCTCAGCTGAGTCAATCACTTCGTGTAAGTATGCTCTAATGACATTGTTATTTCACTGACATTAGACTGACTGGATTAGCATCTGGTGAGTAACAGCTTGTGGCTGCATCCCCTTTGCATTAGCAGTGGAAGCATCAGCAGGACTTGAGCTTCCTCACCACCCCAGGCCAACTAACTCCACTCCAGAGCACTTCGGAGCTGGCTAGGGAATTTGTACGGGGCTGGGCAGCACTCCCCGCAGCAGATCAAAGACAAGCCCTTAAACACACACACAGTCACAAACCTCCCTCCCTCTTCCTTGCTCAAAGGAGGTGGAGAGGAGAGGATGGGATGGCAATTACTGCCAGTGAATTGCTCCCCATCCCCATTAGCTCAGCTTCTCTAGAAGATGAGGAGAGAAGCAGAGCACAGACACTGCTCATCCCACATGTCTCCTTTCATGCTTGTTTTGGTGACGGAAAAGCCAGCTGAATTTATTTTCAAAAATCTGAAAGCCGGGGGAGACCAAACGGAGAGCGGACCGAGGTCCTTACTTCCACATACAAGTCCGTTGTTCACATCAGTGCAAAAGTAAACCCTCCTTTTGCTCAGTTCTCTCCCCCTCTTTTTCTTTAAGCAGTTATATTTCTAAGAATAATTCCCTCTAGTGTGTGGATAAAGTGTGAAATTCCACGCTACTGGGTCATTTCATACATTAAAAATAATCTCCTGTCACACAGAGCATCAGGAATAGCGTGGGGGGTTTTTTCCCTTTGCCTCAGTTTTCCTTTCTTTCCTCCTATACCACTATTTCACATCTAATGGACTGAGCTTAATACCTTACAGAAATGAATGCAAAAACAGAAGAGAGCTTCTTCCATCAATAGTGACCTAGTTTATTGACAAAGCAGACAATCCTATATAAAATGTCACTGTTGAGTCACTGAGAAATATCCCTTATGATGAGGTATTGCTTCATTAAGAAATTTGAAGGACTATAATTTACTTATGAGGTAAGTATATAGGCTTATTTGTAGTGGTGAAATTGTGTTATAAACTGTTATGGGTGAGAGAAGGCTGACATAAAAAAGAGCAAGTTCAGCATCTGATTCATATAAAAAAAAACAAAGGCTAAAATGTCTCAAAGAAACTTGACTTGTTCCATGGTTTTATTTCCAACCCTCACTCCCTGACTGCTTTCCCCAGTGCATTCAGCCCCGGGTTCCAGGCACAGCAGGAGGTGCTTGTGCTGTGTGGCAGGGAGGTACCATCACAGAGATGGTACAACCGGTACCTAGAGAGCCTCGTAAATGATAGAGGTGATGCTCACGCCACCGGTATCTACAGATCATTGGGTTGATATATGTGAAGTCCACAGACAACTCTGTCTCCACTTGGCAGGACATCCTAATAACAGGATAGATCCATTCCTGAACATCTCAAAAAATCATCAACAAAAAAAAAAAAAAGAGCATCATCCTCTTTAACACTTACATCATTTTCAACTTTTCACTGGGAGCTCAATGCTTCCCCTCTGAGACAGGGAACTGTGCTAGGACTCTTGTCTCCAGGGTAACCGTGCTAAAGTAAGCCCATGCTCCTGCTTTTTTTTTGGAGTCTTGGCTACATTTTCCCAAGCAGGTGCTGGTTAAAAAAGTAGCATTTTTTGTGAGCTTACTTGAACAAGCAGCCCTGCTCTTTCCAGGCCCTTCATCAATTCAGGATTTCCAGAAGTGGCCTCCATGAACCAAGACCTGGCAAGAAAGATGCTCAAACAGGTGAGGAAGCTGGGCAGAAGCAGCCTCCCTCCCAGCCACAGGCCAGTAACTAGAGAGCAAGTGACTAACTTCTCCCTTTACTTAAGTCTCCCTTTTCCAAATAGGCTTGCAAAAATATGCTTATACACAAGCGTACAGGTTTCTGCTGTGAACTGCTCTTATCCCTGAAGGAGTTTCTGGATAAAATACATAAAGCAGCACTTGGATCAGACACAGCATCTGAATGCTGCAAGCAGGAGACTACAGCCAGAATCCCTTTCTTTTTTTTGTCTCTGTTCTCTCTGAACGGGAGCCATTTCTTTACCATGGGTCTGCTTTGCACAGAGGCAGAAGGCATACTCCCCAAACCCAAAAGAGCCTGCAGCCTCTCTCATTCAGGAGGGATGGCTTTTAACTCAAAACTAGCATGAAAATTGAACCCGTCTCTTCCCCATCAGGGGCAACAGCTCCAAACTGATAAGTACAAACAGTCCACTGACAAACTGTAAGCAAGCAACCCCTTCCACTTGATTCACACAGGGTAGGTGATCCAGTGGGCACTTCCAGAGCAAACCTATCCAATCCTGTTCACAGACAGGCAGGCAGAGAAATGCCAAAACACTGCACAGTTTTTAGATCTGTGTAAGAAACAGGTGAGCAGCTGTTCAGTCATGGGCAGAACAGAACACCTTTTGACACACTGAAGGTAAAGCTGTACACTGTTCACCAGGAAACAAAGCCAAAAAGTGATATATTTGTGGAATTTAGGTATTGCAAGGCTTAGCTGATAGCCGAGAAGGGATTTCCAGCAACTGAACTTTGGCACCCAAGAGTTATTACACTCTTTATATCCAAGTCCTGGATTTTCCCCTAAAGCTTCTTCGGTACAGCTGGAGTGGTTTTGGTACAAAACCAGTACGTGACACTTATTTGCATTAAGCAGGAATTGGTCTTCCCACACCAGCACTCCAGAAGCTTCCCTGAGCAAGTCCTGGGTAACACCAATTCTTTTATTCAATTATCTTCAGTTAGTCATCATAAGAAACAGAACTGGAAGACAGAAAGGGCAGCTGCTGTCTCAAGTCACAGTTCCCTGTTAGCTAACTATATTCTGCCTGGATTTCCCAATTAACAGAGCTAACAAAGCAGGCCCCTCCACAGTGGGACCGGGCAAGCTCTCTGCAATTTAACCCTGGGTACACAGGAGTGCCTCTATGGAAAGATTGGATAACACTATCAGGAAATTGCTCTGTCTAGTGCCGGTTGTGGATTGGGGTGGTTGTCTTCAGTAGCAAGGAGGGCACTGCTGCGTTGCCTGTTGAGAGGTTTGAAGTCGCTCTTGCCTCAGCACGGTACAGTTCTGCATCAGCTTCCACAGCAGTGCAGACCTCTGACGGCTCCAAACAGCGGTGCGAAAACCAGTGTTTCACAACCAACCCTGAATCGGCACAGCCCATCTCAAGCCACCAGCCAGAGCAGAGGCCAAAGCAAGCTCCAACTTCCCACTGCTGAGAGCAGACCAGAGCTCACACTGCGGCACAACAGCGGTTTGTGAAGGAGTACACCCGCTCAACCACCCCACATTCCCATGGGCGGTGGTGACTCAGCAACGCTCCTGCTAGGTTGATACCCCTACCTTCCAGGAGCAGGGCTGCCTACTGATTACCCTTGGTTTTGATATGCCAGCAGGAGCTTTTGGGGAGGAGTGCTGACAAGCCTAATTGCCAGCAGCTGCGAGGCCTCTGGCTGTTGGAGATAGGCTCTTAACCTCCCCCTTGCCAGCCCCCTTGTAGGTATTGTCCATTTGCCTCGGTATTTTCAGGGGAAAGGCATTTGCTATCACATCATCCTGGTAGCCATTTCCTGCCTAATTATAACATGCAAAAAACCCCAAAAGGACAGGATATTAAATCCTGGCATGTGTTGATGAGGTATGTCTGGGTAAGCCTTGTTCTTTGCTTCCAAAACATTTTCTCCCTAATGACAGAAGGGTGACACTGTGCTGTTGGTAATGCTCCTCGCAGGCTGGACAGGAGTGCTCCAGTGCTGCACTGAGTCTGGGAATGAGGGTCTCAGTCAGCTCCCAGAATGAATGAATCCTTTTTAGAGCAGGTTTTCAGGTTTGTTACGGCTTCTTCTTGTGAGAGCAGAAAGAGTTATTTTCATACTTTCTTAATCTAGAAGTGAGTTGTCTAGGTTTTCTTCCTTAACTCCCTCAAAAGGATTAAATTGAAGTTATTTTATTTCTTTTCAGGAAAACGTGTGCATCTAATTATGCTTCACTGTAAGCCTCAGAAAAAAAACTTTCACTGTAAGAACCTGTGCTTTCAAATTCAGGGTAAGAGTTTGATTACTTCAGAGTGAAGAACACTAAGTTAAAGCCACTCTTCAGAGAATCATTCCTTAAAACTAGCAGAGATACAGTGTTTGTTTCTACTTCTACAAATAGCTATTTTTTTATTTTACTTTAGGAATCCCAATGGAAAGCATTGGACTGTAGCTGCCAAGTATGTACAGCACACTGAGAATCTCTAGGTACAATATATCAAGTACTACATCATTGTGTGCTTACGTTTTCACATGCATATAATATAAATCTGGCAGCAGTAAAAATTGTGTCTCCGTGTGCAGGCTAACAGGAACACACATTCTTAGAAATTAATCGTAAAGGTGTATTTCTTATTTACTAAACAAATTTATTTTAACTAATAAAAGACAATAAATTCACCAACAAAAGAGGGCAGAAGAAATCAAGGGACTTGGTGACATTCCTCAATGCTCTGAGCACCCTGACTGCCCTCTCTACCCGGTCTCTTAAATCTATTTAGCAAGCCAGTTCAGGATAAACTCTGGTAGAGGATAACACGACATGAATGAATTTCAATGTTATGTCACCCTTTATGAACTGATCAAGGTTTCAGGTCAGAGCAAGACCACTGATGCTGAGTACTGGAGTAGGTACTCTCATCTCCCCATGGCTGCATTGTCTCATCTCTGCATTTGGTTCTGGGCTGAACTGCAAACAGGGAACTAACAAGGGTGAGAAATGAAAAGCAAAAGAAAAAGGCTGGGACAATGTTCATAACATAATCTCACAGAGCAAGGAGGAGAAGCTGTGCAAGACGGGAATTACTACCAGCAAGGACTTTGCTTCGCAGCCTTGTTTTTCTGCACGCTGTCACAGACAGAGTGATTGCTTCTTTATGAATGCAGGAGGCCAGGTTAGGTGTAGGTGAAAATTGTATACAGTTTGATTTGACCCATCATTTTGCAAAGGTATATTAAGGTATTAGGCAAAGAGAAAACTAAGGCTGCATTTCACTCCTTTTCCTAGTTTCTCTGTATTTTGCAACATGGAGCTAAATAATTGGCTGAAACCCTCAGACCCTTGTCACCCACAGCTTGTGCCAGGGGTGATTAGGCAGAGAAACACCTCTGTAAATCCAGTATTTTGGAAAAAACCTCCAATTTCCCTTCACTGAAAAATGGGCTTTGACAATGTTAAGACCTGTATGCGCAGTCCTGCAAGCATAAATTCTCTTACCTTTCTCTAAAACACCATTTTTAATGTCAAAACTTGCATTTTGTTCATTCCTAAAGCACCCGTGATGGACCCTTTTTTTATCATTGCTTATTTTAGGATCTTGCAACTCTGACAGCACTTGGACAAAGGAAATGATGCTGTTAAACCAACCATGACCGTAAAAATTTAATCAAAATGTTACCTGCCAAGAAACAGGTCTGACTATATCACTCACTATAGTCTGTTCCAGCACCATAGCTTCAGAGGGTATCAATCCCTAGCAAACGGGAAGTGTTTAATTCATGTATGACACTCAGAAGCCTGACGTACTTTAAATACCAAATAGTTGTTGCAACATAACGGGGGAACTTTGCCCTATTGTCTCAGGTGCATCCTGCCAGGATGAAGCTTTGCTGCACAAAAGCGAAACTCTGAGAGGAAACCAGTGATTTGATACCAAGTTCCCACTGATGTCCCAGAACAAAGCCATTTCATAGAAAATTCGGAAGCACTCAGGAAAATGAGTGGGGTTCTGGAAGGGATTTTTGAATTTGGGCGTTTGATTCTCAACGTGATATGTGTTACAGATCAAGAGTACAAATGTACTGACTTCTCAGTGACCAGAGCACGGACAGGTTCCCGAGGATGGCTTTTATCATCCAATATTTTCAAATCAGCCGGAGCACCTCAGACACTCAGGGTGGCAGGTACCGTTCTGTCAGAGCCCCGCTGATGCGTTTTAAATTGCACTGGTGTAAATGCAGCCTGAGTCGCATCCTCAGGTTTGGAAATGTGTTCTCAATACTTCCTGGTCAATTGTGTCTTGGCACATCTTGATCACTACGTGCCAAAACTTATGCTGCACTTCCTGGGTTTTATGTAGGACTTAAAGAAAAGGTGAGGGAAGTTAAAAAAAATAATTCCCAGACTAGCTGAGTAACATAGCAATTAGCTGCCAGCAAACTGAGGCTGAGAAGAATCAACTTGTCATTTTGAAATGCCTTTTTCTTAGGGGAGTAGAATGCATACAAAAATAATCACTTTTTTCTTGTTCCCAAAACATTATCCTAGCATTTTGTTTTAGTGAGGGAAAGAAACTTTCATGTTGTGAGTCTGTTTCTTAAAATAATTTGGGCATGAAATTAAAAAAATAAATTACTTATCCTCAGTTCAAACCTTCATACTCCGTTGGTGTTGTTATAGGAATATGTGAGTGTTCCAAAACTGTAATGCTTTTTTTTTCCTATTTCTGCAGCATTTAGAGATAACTTAGAGGTGGGAGAATGAGAAGAAAGGTAGATTCAGACACCTGCCTGAGGTATGCTGGAATTAAGCAGCTGAGCAGGGCCCAAAACACAGGTTTCCTTCAGTTCTACGACCAATGTCATAGATTGTTTTGGACCTTGGTAAACAGCCCCAAATCTCAGTACAGCTCTCTGCTGCAGTCGAAGGCATTAGAGCATCTTGTGTAAAACACAGCCATGCTGCATTTCAATGAGGTGGCTCTGGGACTGACAGCAACAGTGAGGAACTTGGCCTAGGTACACTGCCCAAATATTGTCCCTAATGTCCAGATAGGATCTTTCAGCTGCCAGGGAGTTCCAGGCTGCTACCTCTAGACTGTCATCAATAACAGGACAGACCACGTCAAACTGGCTAGGGGTGTGCACCTGGTCTGTAATCGTGCTTTTGGCTGCCATACAGATTTAACCTTGCTTAAGCTAATCCGAGTAACTATTGTGTATCAAAAGATGGGGGATGCCCCACAACTTACATTTTTGTGTGTGTGGTATTTATGAAACAAAGAATGCAGCTTTTAATGCTACTGAGTCATTTAATTTAATTCTGAGAGAGCCAGCCATGTGTCTGGTCTCACCAGATTTGGGTCTGTCTAGAGGTACAGAAGACCTCTGATGGCTAAATCTGCTGTGTTTAAGAGCATGTTGCAGTATTCAAGACAGAGAAAACCTGTCCCATGTATCTTAAGGGTGTGGAAAATCTGTGTCTTAAGTGTGTGGAAAGACAGAAAAGGGCCATCCATTAGAAATGTGAGGTACAATGATTTTGTAAGAGCTATGCATACCTTCACTGCAACCATCCAAAGTGAGATTAGCCAAAGATGATGCCTTGGATACAGGTAGAGTGGCAGTCAGGATAGTCAGTGTCAGTTGCTGGATGTCACACTAATTCTGTACATCAAAAAAGATGTGTCCTAAAGAAATGACTAATTCAGAGTCTGCTCCGAATTTGTTGTAAGCTTTGATGAATATTAAAGCTCCTCTATGCATGCAACAGAAGTATTCACAAACTATTTTCTCAGATAAAGTATTTCTACTTTTCAGGTTTGTTTATTAACCTGTTAGCGTATCAGAAGATACATGAGATTTCTTTTCTGTAATTATATTCCATTGCTGAAGAGGACTTGGGGTTTCCACATTATCTCATTTAGGTAAAGCATGAAAATCAAAATCTCTGGAATTAAGGGCAAAACTATAGAGCTAACCATATAACGTCATTCATTAGTCACACAAAGTGATCTTTTACATACCAGAATAACAAGGTCCTCTTGATACCACCGTTATCTCTTTCTGATGCTTGCAAGCAGCTCTCCTGAGGAAGCATTCATTTTGGTAAGTGTCTCCATTTGATCCACAAACCGGAATATAGTTTGTGTGACACTGAAAAAGAAATTATAAAGTCAGTCAGTCATATAAAATCATGTGATTAATCTCAACTGCATATTAATATACAGGAAGATAGTTGTGTAAATATGAGTTACTAGCAGTAACTTATAACCCTGCTCACTAAAGGAAGATATAAAATATATTAGTTTTTCAATATCACTATATGTATTCCTTTCAGAGCACTGAAATAATAGTCCAACTCCATATGGGCTGAACATAAGAATTCGGTAGGAAAGATTATAAGAACAAAATAAATACAGTGGGACTCAGTAATGGCTAGAGGGAATATGACAAGCATCTAGAAGTATTTGAAGGATAAACACACTGAGAAAGGAGAAAACTTCTTCAATATAACACAAGAATGTATGGCTAGGCACAGTGGGATGAAACTGAGAAAAGGAAAATTTAAGGTGAAGAGTGCTTAAGGGGAGATTTGTTAATTTTTTGATCACAGAGAGATCTTTCAGGGGAGGTGAAAAACAATCACCATCCCCATTAAGTTAATGAGCACCATGAGTCTGTTTTACTTGGTCAACAACTACAATCATGCTTTCGTATCACTATACCACAAAATGTTGAGCTTAAAGTCAGTAGCATTGGTACATTTGATAAAAAGAAGGGAAGGAAGGAAAATTTATCATTTAGAATGGCTTTGGCAGGAGCAGCCTTTATTTTTCTATTTTCTTACATTCTAAGCAAGATGGATTATATACCCCTTGTGTGTATAATGTGTATTAAAACTCTGGGAAACACACTGAGACCATCAATCTGCCTAATACCTGCAAGTGCTGCACTGCAAAATCTGAAGCCCTCTTTGCTGTGTGGAAAAGGAGATGTTGCCCTGTTTGGGGCTGCAATGGTAACTGTAATTCCAGACACCTTTTGTATCTTTAAAACTCTTAAGGCAAAAAAGCCCAAACAAAAGCAATGAAGAATGACACAGACTAGCTACCAAATTTCTTATTCGTATAAAGTATGTGATTAAACTGGTATAGTACAACCACTGAGAGTTCACATGAAAATAGCAGCATTAGAGTCTAGACAGTCTCTGCCACACAGTTTCTTTGTGCTTGGGCATACACAAACCTCAAAATACTCAATTTTTAAAACATAATTTTGAAGGGAATTATCCCTCTTTTTTCATCCTGCCTCAGATGACCAACTGAGAATGAACTAAGCATACATGGACAGAAATAAATCATGCTGCCAGCCCTAAAATTATTTCTAACTGTTTTGTAATGCTTTCCCATAGTGAGTAGCTCTCAGACATTCAACCACAACCATCAGTCCTGTCATATCTCACACTAAACACTCACTTCTAGGGAATAATTAAACAGGCGACTCTTGGGGGGAACAATACTTTCCAATAGGTAATTCTCTATTCAATCCTAAAAAGTCGCTCTGTGATGGTTTAAAGATACAGGTTTCTGTCCTGAGGATAGAAAATGAGAGGCAAAGCGATTCCCTTTTTTACAGTTTGGTAAAACTTTTGCAATTTGGTGCAGTGCAGAGAAAAGTTCTCATGCAAATGTCCTTTAGGAATAGGGTTGTTTTCTTGTGAGGAAATCCTCTAATAGCTTGAATGACCAAAAGAGAGAGCATCTCTCCATAGACGGGATCTGCTCCGCGCAGCATCCTGTGGGAAAATCCATCCAGGCTCCATCCAATGCTGCATGACTGCAGGGTGCCCAGTATCTGAAGAGATCTTTTTCCTATTCTGTCTTAATAAAGCAGTTACCTTACTAAACCATTTTTTGTTGAGCCTTTCTTACTGAGATTGAAAAAGAGCTCCATGACAGTGCTCCCACCTCACCTCCCAATGCCAGTCCATAACACACTCATCAGGTGTTGATCAGTTTTTAATTTGGGTTTTGTAAAATGTCATCCAAATTACAGCAAAAGGCCTTTCCAAAAATCCGGTGAACACGTGTTATCCTCCACCTCCATTCTAATCAAAAGGAAGTTATCCTTTTTCCTGGCTAGGCCAGCAGAAAGCCAGGATATCATTAAGGTCATTGTAAGCAGAGCAAAACTGAGTCCTTCAGCACCTCTCCTGCAGCCTAATTTGCAAATTTGGCTGAGAGGACTTAAACTTCAGTATCTCATTTTATGTTAGATGACTTGGCAAAGACAGAGAAAGCCTACAAGGTGTTCAGAGAGATCATGGCCAGCAGAACTCTTGCTGCCATGACATTATAGCTGTTTCAGTGGCAACACTGAAATTTGGCACCCAGTCATCTCCAAAGGGGATCCTAGGAGGATGAACTAGGACTCATTAATATTTAAAGTTTTAGAAGACCAAACAGTTAAGAAATGCTGCCAGGTCAGGAGTGGTAGCAGATAAAGAGGAGAAAGAAGGAGCAGAGATGCCTGGAAGGGAACTGAAATCTCTGTGCATTTTCCTGAATCTGAGGGATGGTTTGTGCCAGCCTTGGCCTTAGTTCAAGGGTGGCTGTGAATAGCCGTGCCCCTCCGAGGTGATGCTACTTGCAGCTGAATAATTAAGGTTGAGAGTTACAGGAAGAATTCAACCTGCTCTGTCTGAAAAATACAATACCTTCTCCTCATGCTTAGACCTCTTTCCTTGGAGTAGTGGATTAATTTTTTAAAAAGTACAGGTAAGCTTATGATTAGTCTAAAAATAATATTGGTTTTAAAAACGAGTTCTTCAAGAAAAAATACCAGCTTGTCACACAGGCCAGTTTCTTTTTCAGTCCTCATGACCTGGATATTAGGAAGTAGGAAAATTTACTATCTACGGAAGACAAATAAAACCTTTGCTTAGCCTAAGATTGAATTTCCTTTCCTTTCTTCTAATCATTATTGGGCTTTGATTTTATTATTTTTTGTAAATAAAAGTTACAGCTAGAGTGAAGGCTGATGAATAAGCTTCTTTTCATGAAATTATTCTCTCCCTTTAAAAGGCACTCAGATCCCATTGTTCTTATGGGATGTAAGCTGCAGGATACCCCCAGCATAGGTGCCTATGTGAACAGCACCTCCTCAAAAGCCAGCTCTAAAACACTGGAATCCAAAACCAGTGTAAGATCACATACACTGTTGCTATTCTGGTTCTCCTTGATTTATTATTTATTGGAAACAGAACACAAGATTATTTTAAAAACACTGAAGGATAGCCCACTTCAGGGTTGGTTGATAAGACTGCCACCTCTTGCAGTTTTTCCATCTCATAATATTTGATATGTTTGTCCTGGCTATGAACTGTAAAAAAGAAAGAACTTCAGTATTCTCTTCTATCTAAAAAGTAAGGGGTGGGAGGGGAGGAAGGATTGCCACCATAGTTATAAAAACTGTAAACGAAAGTTTCAAAAACCAAGGAAGCAAATTTAACTTGCTATTTACTACTTTTTAGAAGTTCTGGGGATCTTTTAAAATCAAATTTCCATACACACTTTTTTAATTTCCTGAGTGTGACTAATGCACTATTTTCATTCATAAACTTTATGATCACTAGTGATCCTGTTATTATCTGGTTTTTAAAACACCTTAAGATCTTTCAGGGTCAAATGTACCACATTTGGCCACTAGCAGATTAGGAAAAAATCCTCCAAATACTGACATTAGACTAAGTAACCCACAATAAGTACTGCCTTTAATTTATAAAGCTTCATCTGGTGTGCATGACCACGCTTGGCTGCCCTGCTCTGGGTCACCTCACCTCCCGTCTCGGGGCAGGATGAGGCAAGGTAGGGAGGCAGAGAGTGGGTTTCACCTGGTCCCCACTTCTGCTCATGTGGGTCTGGGGGGCTGTGGGTGCCTGGCATGTGGTGGCCCCCTGTTCTTCTCCATAGTTCTGTGCTGCTGGCTGGCTTACCAAAACAATGAGGGGAGCAACCTGAGTGCACCCTGGTAAGGTTCAGTCACATACCATCCCAATCAGTGCCATTAAAAAAGAAGCTTATGATTAAAGGTTTACAGATGCCTGCTGATAAGTGGGATTTTAAAAGTGGCGAATCTACGGATACTTCAATACACCTGAAAGATTGGTCAGAAATGGAAAACAAAAAGGTCATCAGCCCTTACCTGGAACTGACACGCACATTTCAAGCCATCGCCCTCTTCCTTGCACACTCCTCCATATTTACATGACGATTCATCACACACTCTAACGTCAGATTCCCTTACATTTAACTCTGCAAAGAAAATAGAGAAAGGAGACAGAAAAGAAAGTGTAAGATGAGTTTTTCTGGGGACTGCCTCATCCTTAAAGCCACTGAGAACCCACTCTTGCCTTATCCCCATATAGAAATTAAAGGAAATAAGTCAGAGGTGTTCCCCGGCCTGCCCTGCGCCAGCTCCATCCTGCTCCCCAGGGGCAGGCCCTGCTCCCCAGAGGCAACTTTGTGTGGTTGGCACAGCGGCTGTGGCTACACAGGGCTTCACCACGCAAACAGATACAGGGCATGTGCATGTTTACGCTGCCCAAATTCCCTTCCAGGTGTCCATTGCCAGGAAT